GGCATTTCCGCCAACAGATCTGTCACTCCCTGGATGCCTCCTCTTGTTGGACCATTTTCTGTGACCCCACCGATGGTTGTGCGCGAAAAACCCAGCAGATAAGCAGTTTCTGAAATACCGTGACCAGCTCGTCTGACACCAACAACCATGCCACGCTCAATGTCGCTTTAATCACCTCTGTCCCCATTCTGATGCTCAGATTGAAATGTAGCAGATTGTCTTGACCATGACCAGTGTCATTAACAAGAAGTTGGACAAGTGTACCTAATAAAGTGGCCTTTTAGTGTACATTCAAACTGGGTTTGGTGCCAGGATGCCAGCCAGTTTAAATTATTTTCTACCAGGAGCAGTGGGCAGCACAGCACTAGCACTCCTCTACATGTTGCTGCACACTGCCTTTGAGCTGGCAGAAAGATGATTGGTACGTTTTTCCATTTTTGACAAGAAACATAAATTAAGCTGCCTGGAAATATTTCTAGTTTTAGAAATCACACATAAAGTGAAAAAGCTTTGTGGAAATGTTGAAAAAAATCCTTTAATCAGAAGAATGAATCAGTGGCTTCCTGCTGACACGTTCGTCAACGCTCCACAAACAGCTTCTTAGAGTTGGAGAACAAAAATATGTTTTTGTTTCATTTTATTTTCTTGTCTCTGTTAATTTTTCCCAGGCGGATATTTGATCCCTCGGGAAATGTGTTTTCAGCTTAAACAGAAGAAATGTTGCAGCCGGGTCAAAGTGCTTTGACAGTTTGCTTCAGGAGTTGAATAAGGGCTATTTGTTCAAGAAATATGTTGAGGTTTTCACAGTGCAGTCCAGGCCTGCTGTACCACAAGCCCAAACCCTGACCCATTTAAGACCCCAAAGCAGATCCCGCTGAGGAGCAGCACTGAGCGCCTTTGTTCTTATTTTCTGCCACTAAATGAGTGAGAAACAACCAGCTTCCAGCCAAAAATGCTGCGGTTACACTTACTCCTTAGACAGAAACAATGACACTTCTAATTTTCTTGGCGCAGCAGGCCAGGAGAGACAATCTAGAGAGAAGGAGGAAGAGGAACTTTGCTTTTACACATGGCTGATAAAGACTCAAAGATGAAGGAAAATTTCTTTGGTTTGATGGCAACTTTTCTGTGTTTCTTTTATTCACCTCATCCAGTATTTATTTTTAAGGGAACTGGGCTCAATGAATGTCTTGATCAGACCTTGAGGTTTCTGGCATGGCCCTGCAAATGTGCTCCTTCATCTGTCTGTAATGAAGTGGACGGAGTAACCTGCTGCTGTAATGACCTTGCTGTTTACCGTATGTATGCATGAAATGCACCAAAGGAATGGGGCCCTGTGTGTGCTGGAGAGGCCATGTGTACTTACCCTCCCCGTTGCTTTTACTGCTACCAGGCCGGCCGTTTGTTCTTAGGCACAGACGTGGCTCTGTGTACTCTGCGGTTAGATGAAGCTACAGGGTCTAGTTGACTTTCCTCCCCCTCTGTCGCCTTCTCAAGCTTCTGTTTTCTTGTGTGTCTGCTCTCCTCAATGATTCTGGGTTTTGTTTGGTTTTTCGGTGTTGTTGGTGGAGGGGTTAGTCGGGGGCTCTGTTCAGGCTTCCTAACACCATCACAGGGTGTTTCGACCCGGTCCACTGCACCAGATCTGAGGGAGCAGCCATGAGCCAATTAAAAGCTGTAGAAATGGCTGCTGTCCACTTCGCCCCCCTGAATCCTCCACCCACCTCATCGCTTTGATCTCTGCACGCTAAACACAGAACCAGAGCCAGAACAGTTTACCCTCTATGCTAACAGAGTGGGCCCAATTATTACAATCTGGCTTATAGCTTTCTGGCAAATCAGTAGAAAATTGACCAACTGTCTTTTTTTCATCTTTGCCGACTGTTCAAGGACTGTCTGAAAAATCAAGATTTAATTTAAGTGTTTTTCTGCAGATTCTATTGAAGTTGAAGTTACTCAAACAATTTTCTCGATTCCTCAATTTCAGTTTTCATAAGGTTTAATTTGAGAAATTCAGAATAAGCCAGATAGAGACTTAAAGTCAAATAAATAGAATTGGAACAAAATGATAGAATACAAGTTCAGATCTTTATTAGTCAGACTGCACTGCAAATCTCTGATCCTAATTTAGGTTTGATTTTTAAAAGGCACAATTTCACTGAGACTTCCATGAACAATTAAAAGAAAATTAAAAATTATTATTTAATTTAACTGCTTTTGCTTTATTTAAATATTTTATTGACTTATAACAAAACATTTTGAAACTTTTATCTCATTTTGAGAAATTTTTCCTTTTTTTGTACATAATAACTGATGCACCAAGCTATTAAGGTCAGATGTCATATTTTTTTTTACATTTTTAATATTTTATAGAAAATATGTGAAATATGTTGTTACACTGTATTTAATCTGTCTCATATGTATTTGAGGAGAGTAAATACTTTTATTTAAGATGCAAAGATCTCTGGAATGCTTTCACATAAAAAATGGCCTGTTTGTGGCTACACGGTTGATTAAAGGTTTTTAATGTTTTGATAGCCAGCGATGATGGAAATTGTTTTCTGCTTGCATTATTTGAACTTAATTTTCTCATGTGCAACAATATTTTACTACATAGGTTAAGTAAAAAAAAGTCTCTCTATTTAGAGGATGAGCTTCCTTTAAAAGCAAATCCATGCTGTTCGGTACAAGCTACTTTAACCTAAGGGGTTCCTCAAGGCCTAATACTCAGCCTATTAGTATTTTTCATTTTATATGAATAAATAAATGAATGAATGCCTTAAATATCACTGCTTGTTAACATATAATAGCATTTACTGTCTCCCTGATAAAACAAAACAAATAGAAATGAATTCTCCAAAACATTCTCGTCCAAATAACAGGCAGTGGTTAAAAGTATTTAACTCTAAGTTAAATATAAGAAACTTATACATATTATTTAGTTCCAATAGGAAAAAGCTAATGGGTCATAGCTATTTCTTAGTCTGAGAGTTGAGCGTTTAATGGCTCCATAGTGGTCATTAATGTAAATATAACACTACACATCCGGGTTGGCAAGGATGTTTAGTGTCTTTAAAAATCCTACATGCTATGATCTGTAGATGTTTTCCAGTAAAGGCGGAGTAAGTCCAGTGATTAATATGCTGATATGTTTCCCCCTTACAGATATTGTTCCTTCTTTTACTGACATCTCCTTCCTGTTATATGCTGATGATATACAGTTGTTTGTCTCATTTGAGCAAAACAAGTTCCATAAGCTACATAAATAGATTGCCTGCCTAACTTGGGAGAGTTGGTTGGCTGATAAGTGTTTATTTTTTGAAAGAATTTGAGTAAAGTAAAAAAAAAAAAAAGAAAAAAACTGGCTCAACCTGAAAAATGTTTAAACAACATAAGCCATCCAAGTACAGTTTGTGTCATTTAGGAGTTATTTTTGTTTCCAACCAAACCTATTATTCACATTTTTTTATTAAGGAGCCATAAAAACTGTAGTGTTTTGCATTTTGCTTAGTTCAAAATAAAACCTCCCTAAAATCCTCCTTAAAAGCAGATAATACCATTAGTCAAACAAAGTGGTGGTGGTGTGGTGATATGGGCTGATTACCTGCTTCAGGATCCACATGACTCTCTGCAACTGATGGATCCATAAATTGTGCTCTTATCGGGAATCTTAAAGGAGAACCTTCCACCTTAAATCCAAGCGTTCTCGGGTTATGCATCACATGCCTAGTCAGTGACTTAGTCAGAAAATCAGCTGATTGAGGTGCTGTGGTATGACCAGAGGCTGTTTATGGTGAAAGCCCTCCACTCTGGCTGAATCTAAGCTATTCTGAACAGATAAGTGAGCTAAAATGTCTTATTTTATTCAAAACGGTAAAAAAAAGATTAATACTGTAATTTTACAGTATTAGATTTAATCAGATTTGAGTTTTATACTGGTGTTAGTATTTAATTTTTTTGTTACTAACCATACGTTTTCATTTTTATGTTTCCTGTACGTTTTAGGTTTTATATTTGACCTTCAGCCGTGCGGTGCGCTACAATCACTTGATAGGTAAATTGTTGTTCCGTATTTGTGTCCCCAGGACCTCCTCGGGTGTCTGGCAGGGTCACTCATAGGCAGACGGCTCGGTTGGGAAGTGCCATCAAGCTACCGTGTCCGGTGGAGGCAGACCCACCTCCCCTCATCCGTTGGACCAAAGACGGACGCACTATTCACAACGGCTGGATCCGCTTCCGTGTGCTCAGGATGGGCCTGAAGATCAAGGAGGTGGAGGCCGATGATGCTGGGACCTTCAACTGCCAGGCGACTAACGGCTTTGGGAGCGTTAACATCAACTACACCCTGATCATCATCAGTGAGTATGCTCCATATTGAAATGCAGAGTGGCTGTACCTGTCTTTTGATTAAACAGGTCCTGATCTGCTGGTTCTCCCAGCACCGTCTCTCCGTGTTGTGTGACTATTCTCTGCAGAACGCGCCTCTGGTTAAAGACAGCATCACTCAGATTTCTGGTGCTTTAGGGACTGATCCTCTCATCTCTGTATCTCTCCGTCCAAAGTTAACAGCAGTCTGGGATATTGTTTCATGCTGCTTCATCCTCTGTGACTCAGTTGGATCTGGTGCTCTTCCTTTTCCCCAGGCTACTCTTTGTGCAGGCAGGAGGTCCACAATAAGAACCATATTCAGCGTAAAGTGCCGGTTTGCCTCAGAGCTCAGTGCAGAGCTTCCAGGATTAGGGACAGTCTGACCGAGGCTGCATACAGCGCATTTCCTCTGCACCAAGGCGCAGCGTGCTGAATGAGAGGAGTGGAGCGTGAAGGCTGTGTTTAGCCTAATTACTCTAAGATGCCTAATTAGCCCCAGAGTCTGCTGTATCTCACACGAGGAGTTTCACCCTGGCCTCGTGATGGCTGTGCATCAGAAGCAGAGCAATGATCAGGAAAAGTGGGAGAAAAAAAAGCGTGCCGTGCACAAGAGCGTGAGTCAAGTTAATTCAAAGCCTGGGTGTCAGCTGATTGTGTTTGAATTAAAGGCTAAAGATGTTGGAGCGCAGCCATGTGTAATGCCAGGGTTAAAAACAGAGCATATTAAACAATATCAGACATCGCCCTTCGGGTTTTTACAGTAGACACCTGTTAACACCAGTTTCATGGTTTATGGAAGTTTAGAGGATTAATATATATGGTGCAAATATGCAGTACTTTTGGTTGGGTGTTATCAGTGTGATGCAAAATTTTTTTCAATAGTTCAGCTGTCTGATGGCTGTGGGGAAGAAGCTGTTGCAGAATCTGCTAGACCTGCATCAAATGCTGCGAAGCCTCTTCCCAGAGAACAGCAGGGAGAACAGTCCATGGTGGGGGTGTGAAGAGTCATATATATATATATATATATATATATATATATATGTTTATAGACACATCTATAATATATATAGTTATATATAATCACACACCTATTTATTGATAATACTTCAAAGTCTATATATGCACATCTATATACTGTAATTTTTGGACAATAAGTCGCAACTTTTTCCCCATTTTTCGACCTTGCGGCTTATATAACAATGCGGCTTATCTATGGACTTTTACAGCTAACGGCGACTAGGATAATACCTAAATCTATGGATTTTACCATCCAACATGTTGACGTCACATTTGCTTCAACACACAAGTACGGTAGCCGCGAGTGCAAGAATGGTCCTCCAGAAGTAGACTTCTACCGTGAGTGGTACGTGATAGACGTACATTGCGAGCGCAAGACATTTTGTGTGTAAACATAAAAAACCTGCGTCTTATAGTCCGGTGCGGCTTGTATATGTACAAATCATGCAATTTAGCTTCTGTGGCTTATATTCAGGTGCGGCTAATAGTCCGAAAATTACGGTATCTGAAAATAAAAGCGTTTACTGTATGCAGGCTAAAAACCTTGAAAAAGCAGGGTCTTGCACAGCCGATCGACGTTCACTACAACAGACGTTAACTACTTTGTGCAACATACAACATGGCGGCGACGTTGAGGTGCGAACCTACGCCCAACGAGGCGTCTATGTACATATGTCGTTGTATGTTGAAATCATTCAATGAATCACTGAAGCTTTAGCAGATGTTGATGATAAAAACAGGCATTTGATTCTGATCAGGTTAATTAGGATGAGAAGGTTTTGACAAGCAGAGTAAGAGAAGGTGAGAATATGATTCCGAAGCACCAAGCATCACAGCTACATATAAACTGAAAAATTTAAATTGAGCCACTGCTGAATAATGTTTAGTCTGCATTAAATCTACGCGATGAGCTGCTTAGTCCTAGATAATGTTACCAAGTGAAAATATAAGGTTTGCTGTTAGTCTGAATCTGCTGTAGTGAAGGAGAGGCTGCAGTGAGATCAATCTGACCCGACTCTGCACATGGTTCTTCTCTAAAACTTTGGTTTTCTTTGGAATGAACTGCATCACATATTTAATCTGGAGACTTTCTGAGAAACTCAGTTCTTAGGATTTTTATCAGGCAGGCTTTTGCCCTTTATGGAGTTGTATTAAAGCTTTCTGGGCTCCTACTTAATCCTGACCTGCTCTTCTGTAATTCCTCCTCATCCCTGTGTGGTGATGAGTGCATTGCGTTGTGACCGGGGCGACGTCCACAGACTGAACACATGCTCCTGTGTTTCTGCTCTCATGTCCGTCATCCTGTTATAGCTGCTGGCGAGCTGCGGCCCCGCCGTTTGTTTTTGGAGGGGTGCATTTTAATCAGATTACAGGGCCTCGTTGTCAGAATACTGCCAGGATTGAAGTCAGCTTCGTAAAGTTCAAACAGTGAGCAATTTTCATGAGCAAAACTTTCCATTAATGGTGACTCAGCTAATTAATGTAGCTCCCTGCTATTAAGTGCTGTGGCTGCTGGTATGTTGCTCCAGAGGATCTGGGAGGAGTTTATTTATTTGAAGTTTTGTAAATGAGGGGTAGCCGGCTCCCATCGCAGCGCTGCGTGCAGCATCCATCACACAGGTTTGTTGTTTTTACTGGATCACAAAAACAAGAACTACAGTCAATCAGGATTGAGCGAGGGGGCCGACTAAAGCCTGGCAACTCTTCAAAAAGTTCAAGAGCATTCCTTTACAAACAAAACCAGCAGAATAGCAACTGAAAGAGGATGACGATGATGAGGGAGTGCGGGGGTATGTTCTGCAGAGGCAGTGGAGAGGTTTCCTTCTTCCCATCTGCCCTCCCAAGAGCTATCTGAGGAATCTGGTCCGTCGGTGCAACATGGCGCCTCCTCAATCCCTCCAGCTGGCTGTTTGGGCCCTGTTTGGAGGGGGGTGTCCTGACAACTGGCCCCATCAGCCCCAAAGGACTGCTTCCTGGGGAGGCCAGTGTATGCAACTGTCCCTGCACTCTCTGCAGATCAAATCCCAGCAGGTTTTATCTCGGCATTAGTAATGGATTGTCATATTAACATTTAAAAGTTTGGATGTAATGTTTATGTCTGTATGGGTGATGCAGGAGCCACATGGTTCTCGCTGCACTTCTTACTTCTGCTGGCTCTCGTGATGCGTTTTTTAAAATGTACTCGCCTCTGGAGAGGTTCGCAGGCCAGCCACCTTCCGTCCAGCTGACCGCATGTGGTAGCTGTTTGGAGATGATGAAAGGCCACTGTGTCAAACTTTCTGTGGACATTAGCACGTCCTTGATCACATCTGGAGCAATTTATGGTCCAAAATCCTCTGGCCCCGTGTTTTGACTCAGCTGTCTTTGCTAAAACCTCTTTCCTGTGGCTGGATTTGTGAATGAAGTGAGAGGGAATGGCGTCAGACCACAAACACTGGAGGGACATCATGAGTGGATTCCAGTTGGAAGGAAAGAAAACAAAAACTGATGACATTTTAACAAACTTAAAGTTTTTAACCTCACTTTGGGCTGGGTCTGAATCATGGGTCTTGTAATGTTCACTGGTCTGCGTAGTGAGCACCAACACCTCAGAGCTGACCTTTCTTCTGCTTCAACTGCTCTGCTCCTGAAGAAGTCCTCGCCAGGCATGTGGAACCACGGGACGGCTGGTCACGCCCTTTCTTACAACATTTTGCTTTCTGAGTAAACTATACATCTTTTTTATCAAATAAGAGTTGGAGATGTTCTGTGAATTCTGAAGGACTATGTCTCTCTTTTCAGGTTAGGATTTAAAATTGAGAAAATTATCAAACCTTTTTTTGTCTGAAATGATAAATATTCCTTTTTCCTGCATGAGCAGACTTGGTATCAACTTAACTTCTTTCTAATTTGTAGTAATTGAATATTAAAGAGTTTAATAAGTTACATTTATTACTTGAGCTATATATTTAGGTTCCAATATTGATTTTCTTTGTTTGAGACTAAATAAATATTAGGTTTAGAAAAAAGCATAAAATGAATGGCTTCTCTAATCTGTGACAAAGTTTGTTAATTGGTAAAGAAATTATAATTTCAGATTCTGGTGATAGAATATTGGAATGAATTTTTCTGAAATAGCTAAATCTATGCATCTGCCATTAAACATCAAACTTCTGCAGCTCTCTCAGCCTACTCCGAGCTAAGACAATAATGACATATGGCAGCATTGCAGGTTCATATGCACAAAGAAGGCCATTGTTCAAAAAAATCACAAAAGAGTAGAGAGGAAACAAAAATTTTAGTCAAAAAAAAAACCCAACAAAAAAAACAGAAGTCAGAAAGAAAACCCCGGCAGCGCGGGACCATGATCTGTTTAGATTGGGAGGTTGAAGAACTGGCAGGAATGTGGAGAGCCCAAGTGAGCAAGAGGGAAATACTTCTTCCATCGGAGGCTGGAATGGGTTATTATCGTTGGCCGGTTAAAGCCCCTTCAAATAGCCATGACATCATGGCTGGGATCGGTGCTGCAGGGGACAAACAAAGGAGGGTCTGTACCCAGAGAACCCAGGAGAGCTCCAACGACTCTCAGAAGGAGGCAGAACGGTTGGGGTTAGAAGTCACATCTGTTCTCTTTACCTGACTCAGTCAAACCATGAGAGGGAACCAAGTGTATTACTGCATGTAGAGGAATCCAGCATTTAGTTGCAGGAGAGCCAGAAGCTAAAGTCACACACAGAGGATAGAGGCAGAATAAGTAACCTCTTTTTCAATGCAACAGTTCACTCACAGCGGTCATTATTCAAACACTGCACATCTGTTGGTGGCACATTTTTAATCTAGAGAGCATTACTTAGAAACGCTGACTGGAGGAATCTTCTGCTTAGTGTCTCCGTCTGCACTGATCCCATAGAGAAACCTGACCTGCTCATCAACTCTTCACCCGAAAGGTTGGAGCACATCTGAAAGTGTCGATTAGGTTTCACTCATCATAATTTCTTTAAGCCCAGTCTTAGCCTCTGCATGATGTCAGCCGGTGACTTAAACCCCACAGCTGTCTGCTCTAACGGGGCTTAATAAAAAACGATCGTATTACTTCCAAATGCAGCAGAGCGTGACCCGAGCATGCAGCCTGCGCAGAGACGCCATGATTAACTCTGCAGTTACTCACAGACTCTGACAAAAACAAATTTCTGAAGCCAGTTTGATTCTTTAACAGCAAGAGGGTCAGAAATTACAGCTTTTCGGGACATAAACTGTTATCTCGGTGTATGATAGTTGCAGGAAATAATGATTATGACTGATTTCTCTCTCATGTTGTTCGCAGATGACTCTCATCCTGAGAGCACAGGACCAGCTAGTGAAGCAGAACCTGAACCAGGCGGTGAAAAACTGGGTAAGAACTCCAAGTCCTGACGTTCTGCTTTCAACAAATTTCTACTTGAACTTTTCCATAATTCTCAAACTGAGTTTTATCAGGCTTTAATACAACAGACCAAAAACCCGATTACTTATAAACATAAAGGAAAACAATACATGTGTGTCATTTTTTTTTACAAATAGAAATCTGAACAATCTTATGGCACATATTTTACTGTGATCCCAGAATATAAGAGGTTTGTTGTCAGGTAGAACTGAACAAACAGCATCATGAAGCATCATGCTGTCAGCGAGGATCACAGCAGACAGGTCAGACAGGAAGTTCAATTAAAGCAGAGTAAGGCTTTAAAACAATATCCCAGACTTTGACCATCGTTCAATCCGTCATCCGAACACGGAAAGAGGATGGACCAACGCTAAACCTATCAAGGCACAAAGGTCATTTTATTCTGACAGGGAGGGGAAGGGGATCATTAATCAGCATAGCCAACAGAGATCCACAGCTAACACGTAAGAGTCCTAATGACAACTATATGTAAAAAGCTCCTATAGCTGTAAAAAGCTATAGGAGGCAGAAAAGCTGTGATTGAGGCAGAGCGTCACCTTAACAATTGTAAACAATAAAATGATTTGGGTTGAAGCTCATTCATGTACTATGATGGACTAGTCAAAGTTCAGGCCCCAATCAGATTGACCTGATGCCACCTGTCAATCAATCCTAGGGGCTTGTCAGCACCTGACCAATCAGTGATGTTGAATTGAAACGTCCCTCCCCTGCAGAAATGCAACATTTCCAGTATTTTGCATACAAAGACGTAGCAGAGATGCATAATAAAAGGCTAAATGTTATCAGCATCCAAATTTAGAGACACATTACTATATTTAGAGGATGGAATGCAGTTGGTTCTATTTCTAAAACCAAAAAGCAGTGATTGAAAACTTAGAGAAATGACCAAAAGTCTGCTGCTTACAGCTCTAAGCAGTAGCTGCCGGTTAAATGTCTAAACGAACCGTCTTTGTCATAATTACATTGTTGGCTTATGTTTAATTTGGAAAAAGCTTGATTAATTACAAAGTTGTGTGGTAATAAACTATATTAAAGGCAACGTGTCAGCATGGGCTTTTTAACATTGATTACTTACGTGATATAAATCCTCCTCTGGCTTATGTACTGTATTCAGTCGCCTGCTTTTGTAACTGTAAAGGACGTCAAACTCAAATTATTATTCTTTGTCTGTTGAAAGCGTGTGCTTTAACTTTTCTGTCTCGATTTACCCGTTGTCTTTGCCTTAATGTTTGCTGATCAGGCAAAATGTCTCATAAAATTCCTCAGGTGACATGCTTCACTGTGTAGCTGTCAAAGCTATGATTTATCTGACTAAACGCCTTTGCACACCACACTTTTCAGATTTTATATGTGAGACATTTTGAAAACCATGCATCATTTACTTTTCACTTCACACAAGTTAAAAAGTCCTAACTTTATTGCAATAAAATGTGAAACATTTAAGGGGGTTAAGTATTTCTGCAAGGTCAAATGTTAGGGATTTTACTGCATAGAATAAATAAATATTTTTTAGAGTTAGGAGCATTTTCAGTAAGAGACTTAGTAAGAATCTGAACAAATATTCAGAACAATCAATATATAAAGTGAAGCATGAGTAAGCGGTTCTGCGTTCTTTGCCATATTGCTTCTGACTTCTCTGGTAATGTTTACTGTGCTGATAAGGCTTTAAAGGCTACAGGTGCAACTTTCTGAATGTCCCAATTTATTCCAAACTGTATACATGGATTTCCCCTTTGTTTCCTCTGAAAGCTCGTCCTCGATTCACGCAGCCTGAAAAGATGAGGAGGAGGGTGATAGCATGTCCTGTAGGCAGCACTGTGCGCCTCAAGTGTGCAGCCAGCGGAAACCCTCGACCAGACATCATGTGGCTGAAGGACGACCGGCTTCTGACGGAGCAGGAGGTCGGCGAGGGGCGCCAGAGGAAGTGGACTCTGAGTCTGAAAAACGTGGTGCCAGAGCACAGCGGCAGATACACCTGTAGGGTGTCCAATCGAGCGGGAGAGATCGACGCCACCTACAAGGTGGAAGTCATCCGTGAGTATCTCAGTTCTCATCCCTTAGGAGGGAAAGCATTTCCACTGCCTAAAAACTGCCATCACTATGCTTTGCTGAAGGAATGAAGGTTTTATGGTTATGTTTACCACAATTGTTTCATAAAAGGCAAGGGAAGTTAATTTATATAGCACCATTCAGTGCAGAAACAATTCAAAGTGCTTTACATCAATTAAACAGACAAATAAAAGAACAATACAAGCAAGTATAGATAAAAACAGCAGGTAGTAAAGCAAATAAATCAGTTGGATCGCAAACAGCCAATGATATAACAGTCCTAAACAAATGGGTTTTTGACTTTGACCTGTCTGGGAGTTTTTTTCCAGCCAAGTAGAGCATAGGAACTGAGTGCTACAGAATCCCAGTAGTCAATGGGCCAGAGGTGGGGTACACACTGGATGGTCCACCAGTCCATCGCAGGGCCACACAGAGACACACAAGACAAACAACCACTCACACTCAGTCCTACGGGCAATTTGCAATGTCCAATCAACCTAACATGCAGGTTTTTGGACTGTGGGAGGAAGCCGAAGAGCCTGGAGAAAACCCACGCAGACGCAGGGAGAACATGTAAACTTTACCAGGAAAGGTCCTGGTTCCCCTGGGACTCAAACCCACACCACCGTGCTAACCACCAAACCACAGTGTCGCCCTTACAGACTAAAATAAGGATGTTAAAGTCTATCCTCTGAGTTACAGGAAGCCATTTGAAGGACTTCAGAGCTGGGGTGATGTGTTCTACTTTCTTAGTTCTAGTGAGAACACAGACAGCAGCATTTTGGATCAGCTGTAGCTGTCCGATGGACTTTTCAGGCAAACCTATGAAGACACTGCTGCAGTAATCAAATCTAGTAAAAATAAATGCATGAATTAGTTTTTTTAGATCCTGCTTGGACGTTTGTCCTTTAATCTTGAAATGTTTTTCTGGTGGTAAAATGCTGACTTATTTACGGCCCTTTTGTGCCTCTGAAGGTTCAGGTCTTAGTCCATCATGACACCAAGATTACGGCCATAATTGTTGGTTTCTAGATGTAGTAGCTGAAGCTGTGAGCTAACTGGATCTCTGCTCCTTTTCTCTGAAGATTATAACCTCAGTTTTGTTTTTATTAATTTGGAGAAAATTATAAGGCATCCACATATTGATCTCTTCTATGAAAATAATCAACGCTCTAATGGGTTCATAGTCACCAGGTGACAAAGCCGTGTGTCGTCTGCATAGTTATGGTAACTGATGTTGTTTTCTGCTATAATCTGAGCCAAGGGGAGCAAATACGGAGAGGCCCTAGAATGGAGTCTTGACATAAACGTCCCTGTTCTTTAGGTAGGATTTAATCCAGTCCAGTGCTGTACCAGAAAGGCCGACCCAGTTTTCTAGGCACTCTAATAAGACCAAGTGATCAAAAGTCAACTGTTGCAGTGAGGTTCAATAATACCAGTACTGTAATATTATTATTATTCAGTTTTTGGTTGTTAGGTGGCAAAAAGTGGAAGTGGAGTTCAAAGGGTGAAAATACTTATGCGACCCTCTGGCCGCTCTGACTCTAAAGACAAACCTTCCTTCCTCTCCTGCAGTCAGATTGTGATCAGCAGGTCTGGCTGCTTGGATGAATGTCCTCTCAGCAATTATGACCATGAGAAGCAGATTGAGGAAGCAGTCTGAGAGTGAGGGCTGGTGCCCCGCTGTTTGGGGGATCTGAACCAGCCAATCTGGAGCTGATTAAAGCCCAGCTGTCTGCCAGAACCGCCTCCAGCCCCCTGAGAAACTGTGCTGTACAACCAGGAGTACAGAGAGGAAACTAATCACACATACTTCTTGTGTTACATGTGGTGTTCCTGCCTCCCTCTCTCAATTACAAGCTCTTAGCTTTAGGCTGCTTTGGATGCCTTGCTCCTATCAGCAGATGTGCTGAAGCAGCAGAACGTGTTAGTGACGGTTCTTCTCATTGGGTCTGTGCAGAAAGGACCAGCTCCAAACCGGTTCTGACCGGGACGCACCCCGTCAACACCACGGTAGACTATGGAGGCACCACGTCGCTGCAGTGCAAAGTGCGAAGCGATGTGAAGCCCGTCATCCAGTGGTTGAAGCGCATAGAGCCTGATGAGGAGAGCCGCTACAACACCACCATCGAGGTTGGCGACGACAGGTTCGTGGTACTGCCCACAGGGGAGGTGTGGTCCCGGCCCGACGGCTCCTACCTCAACAAGCTGCTCATTACCCGCGCCAAGGAGGACGACGCTGGAATGTACATCTGCTTGGGCGCCAACACCATGGGCTACAGCTTCCGCAGCGCATTTGTGACTGTGCTTCCAGGTGAGACAAACATCCACCCACACAAATTAGAACAATGCTGAAAAATAATTTAAAAGGTGAATCTCTTTTATTACGTTGATGACTCAGAGTGATTCACTGTTCAACATAACAGCAGTTTGTTTAGAACAGAAAGATGTTAAAAAACTTCCTGATCACTGCTTACTGATCTGTGATGGGCTGCTAAAAAACGAATTTCTAAGCCTTTTTTTGTGTTAAAACTGATCCATGATCTCATACTGTGTGATAAGTTAGCTACACATCACTGCAATACATCTCCCTATCATGATGCTTCACAGTTTGCTATGGTTTGAACTCAGCAGTCAGTGTGATAAACCGTCTGCAGGCCTTAGACCCAAAAGGTCCAATCTAGTTTTCATCAGATTCTAGCCTTTTTCAGCAAAGATTTGTTCTATCAATGTGGTTTTAGCTCCTCCTTATAACTGTAGATTCCTATTAATCTAATTCATGACTGCTTCTTTGCCCTTTGGGGTCTTCTTTTTAGAGTTCCCCTGATCAGAAATCAGTCAGATATCAGCGAAAAAGCCAATATTGATTTTTTTTTACATCTAAATTCTCTGATATCACTGAGCTTATATAAACAATCCACTGCTAGAATGAATTGGTTAATAGTAAAGTTGTATTGTGTCAGTAATCCTTCAATACTCAAAACTTTAATATTGGTACCATATCAGAAATTAAAAAGTAGCATCAGGACACCCCAACTTCTTTTTTCCATATAAACAGTAGATTTTGTGTTTCTTCTAGGTTTTAGAGCATTTGATATCCAATTATTTTCTTATTTTATTTTATTCACCTCAAATTATTCACAGATATACATATTTTTTTTCCCTGCAGGAAGTAATATAAGGTTTTAGATTAATAGTGAATCTGTGGGGAGAGCTAAATATTGGGGTGTTGACCTTCTGACCTGGAAAAGGCTGCTCTGCTGGTATAAAAAGGGCTTGAAATCTATCTAGCAAAGATCTTTTCATGGATTATTCAGGAGGCAGAACTAATCTTTTTATAGAGATTCTAACATGTTAGCATTAAGCTGTAAATGTATGTTCAGAGTTAACAGAGCTTCACCTCATATCATAAAACAATGCAACTCATTGAGCTCTTCCATACGTGTCTCTCTTTTCTTTACAGACACAAAGCCCCCCGTCTCTTTGCTCCCGGCCAATTCCAGCTCCCTCCCCTGGCCCGTCATCATCGGCATCCCTGCCGGAATAGTCTTCATCTTTGCCACCGTCCTGCTGTGGTTTTGCCAGAGCAGAAAAAACTGCCCCCCACCCAGCGCTCCCGCCCCGCAGCCGCTGCAGAGCTCCCACCGATCCCCGTATAGAGAGCGGGACCGGGGCTGCCCTGCTCCGTCCTCCAGCTCCTCCAGCCCAGATAAAGACTGCATGAGCTCCATGAACTATGAGGAGTACCTGGCCCAGAAGCAGCTCCTCCTCAGCCAGGCCGGACCCAGCATCCCGCCCAAAATCTACCCTAAAATCTACACGGACATCCACACACACACCCACTCTCATGTGGATGGGAAGGTTCACCAGCACCAACACATTCATTTTCAGTGTTAGCCTCAGCTGTTATGAACTGAGCAGGTACGGACTGAAGTTCCCCAGACCTCCTTCCTCTAGATCAGTTGCTTAGAAAACTGTGTGCAGCTGATGGTGGCCAGTTTGTTATCAGATCAAAAACTCACATTTCGGTGCTCTTTTCTACCTGTTAGAAGCTCACGCTTATATAACAACCCTTTTTGTGCACTTAATACATAAAGCTCCTTTTTACTGGATCTCCGTCCAGCTGCGGTTTTCTAATCCATCTGGAGGTTTTCCTTAACGGACGTTTGGATCTGACGAGCTCTAAGGAGGCAGATGAAAACGGTACTAAAGATTCACAGAAAGGCTGGTTTAATCCTCCAACTCAGGTTGTTATTTTGTTTGTTAAAGATGCATTTGTTAGGAATGCTGACCACTATGCTGCCGTTCTTCACCTCACTTTTCTGTTCCTTTTGAAAAAAACAGGCCGGTAGCTCTTTATAGCGTGCAGATGTTCCCAAAGACTGCAAGGGTGGAGGGGTTGTGTTCCCACCCTCTGTGTAAACTGTTCTGGTCCTCTGTAATCTTCATATTTAACGTTCTGTCTGTAGGTTCCCATTATTAGTCTTTAGCATGTTGGGATGAACCAGCAGAGACCACCTCCTTATCCAACAACAGTTTATTAAGCTGTAGTCAGAATATTTAATTTATTTTCTTAAAAATGTATCAAAGGTTTATTTTTCAGAGTAAGGCATTTTTCATATCTATGTGATATTAATAAAGTATACTGTTTGTGTATTGTACTTTTTTTAACTCATTTTGTTTCAGTTTAAGCCAACTCAACCAGTTGTATTATTTGGGGGAATTATTTCTGACAATCGTATTTTTCCATATTTAAAGTTCAAAGGGTCCCAATATTTAGGCATTTCAGTAAATCAGAGTATCATCAACAAAATAGAACTCCAGTAGTAAAACTCAATGTTTGCGCCCCAGGCTAATGTTTCAGATCTCTAAACACATTTTTATTTCAGACAGATTATCCTGAGTAACCATTCCAACTAATCTGACCGTAAATGAAAAGTTATTACACCCTAATAAGTTGTCCCTCCAACTGGTGATTTTTTTTTTTTCACTCTTTGCATAAATGACCCGTTAAAGGTCACAGAGCAGAAGTTTAATCAGATTTTGGGTAGGACACTCCGAAGCTTTAATGTCAAAAGATTCTAGCTGGAAATTAAGGAGAATTCATGGAAAGTAGGTCTGGAGCATCCAAGTATAACTATATCTGACTGTATTTTATTTTTTTTTCTGACGTGCAGTTTGTTTTACTCTAGATGTAACAAGATTCTAAACTCGTAAAACGTTCCAGAAAAGGTTCTTTTTCGTCAGCAGTGGTTTTCACCCTACTAAATCACGACCTCTGACCCCAACTGAAGCCTGAAACAGTTTTGTGAAAAATATTTGAACAAAAACTGTTTACTGCCAGAATCAGTGCTAAATCAGGACTCCTTTGTATGAATTGCCCATTTTGTGAACATGACAAACACTGGAACAAAGGTGGGTAGAATACCCAGAAAATGAAGTAAAATAAAATAAGAGTAGCACATTTTTAACTTTTTCTTTGACTTTAGTAATAATGAAAATGTAGTCATCCAAGAAATTACTCAAGGAAAAGTATTTGGTAGAAAGGTTACTCAAATACTGAGTAACTGTTGGATGATAAAATCTGATTTAATGTTTATAAATTATGCTGGCAAATAGGTTTTATGTGCAAGTTCTGGCATTTTAAAGACTCATATCTTAGGAATAACAATAAATGTCATGAATATAAAATAATAAACTCATGCAAAAGAAATACTTTTACCAATTTTCCCCCAACATAAAACTTAGAAAATCAATCATATGAGAACTGTACTGTATATATTAGGACAGGTAAACAAACCTCCACTGTTAATATCTATTGTTTATGGTTTGTTTACTTCATTTTGGTTCAAATGAATCACAGAGAATAGTCAGATATTTTAGTCAAGTAAGAGGAGCAATGCTTTACAAGAATATTACTGAATAAAAAAAAGTATGGCAGTCAAGTAAATGTAACTAATTACTAGCCGTAAACAGTAAAAAAGTGACATATCTGACTAAATTATCACCACCTGGAATCAGTGAATTTGCCACCAATCTACTCTAGGTTCAGGGAATTAGATTTTCAAATAAAAATATAACAACTTCAGCAGCAGTTGACTCCAAACTTCTTCCTTCCTTTAAATCCTCCATATGTAGGCATCTCATTTGTTGAAGATAACTGTCTGCGGTCTTATCTGATACGGTCTGGCAACTTTTAAATGCATTCCCACTCCAGCATTGAACCAGATCCACTAATCTGCAGATTGAGCTCTGCAAAGGGAAAAGAATATATCTGAAAGTTGAATGATCGGGGCTCGAGCTCCGAGCTTTTAGGCCATTTATTTCAGTGTTAAGTATCCTTCTAGTTGGTCTTTTATTCAAACTCTACCTTTTCAGAGAAATTGAATCAAATCTGTAAACCAGAAATAAAACACTTGACCTTTCTGCACCCAGGTAAAGATCTAAGAACCTGACCCCACCCCCTCTTTTAGCATGTAAGAAGTCCGAGGGCGAGGCAGAGTACAGCCAGCTAAGTGACCCTGATAAAAACCTGAGCAGATAGGGTGCAGTCTCACAGTGGCTCTTCAAATGACTGACGTGTCCCTGCAAGCCTACACCGACCCAACAGCATCTTCTCCCAGTTAAGTGACTGTACCCCCCGCCACGCTCGGCTCCAGTATAGGTAGGATTTCCTTTCACCATTTAGGAGGCACATTGTCTCACTCTGGGGATGATGTGACAGAAGCCAGTGATTGCTCTGGAAAGAAGGGAAGCTTTGTCTTGTTTAGTTGCAGGAGATCTGGGGATGAGTGTTGGCTCCAGAGAAATGGCAGAAGAGCACAGCGGACAAAATAATAATAATAATAAAAAAAAAAAAAATTATCTCATGTTACATGGCATCCATTACATATTATTTAAAACTCTGTAAACAGGCATTTGTTGCTGCAAAATCAGACACTGCCCTCTAGTGGTAGATTAAGAAAAACATAAGTTCTTTATTGTACAAGTTCGACACTGAAAGACATTAAAATAAACTACAGGAGGAAAGGTACCAACAGAGAGAAGAACAATAAGAAAAAGCATTTACAGATCAGCCTTTCTGGACTTTTGATATCAGCTCATCACAGAGCTTGGTGAGCTCTCCCACTTCTTTTTCCTGAAACCCAAAAATGCACAAATAAATTCACAGCAAGCCGTTCATTTATTGAAATGCAACCAGTTCACAGCGATGACCCCTCACCTTCTGCTCGAGGCTCGTCTCCAACGTCTGGATCCTCAGCTGCTCTCGCCGTAGCTGCACTTGAAGAGCCGAAAGCTCTGCCTTATATTTGGATCGAACCTCAGCAATTTGTTGATTTGCTCTAAAGTCAAAAAGTCTGTTTTAGTCTCTACAGCTAAAAAAAACAAGCATCCAAGTCCAGGTTCGGCATCTTACAGGTTAATTTTCTCCTCGGCATGAGCCTTCAGCGCCTGGTAGCGCTGCTCCCCCTTCCTCATCCTTTCCAAGTAGTCCTGCGCGCAGGCCTTCAGCGTCTCTTCATTCTAGCCAAAGTGTTGAAATAAAGATTTAAACATTCAGTTGTTGCCATCAGACTTGAGAACGCAGGAGTTTTTCCTCATGGGAGCGTACCTTTTTGTAACCCTCCACAACTTCCTTGTACTTCTCAAGTCTCTTAAAAAGCTCTCCGAAGGATCTCTCCATAGCGTTCAGGTCGCTGGACACCTGCTGCTTCTCCATCAGAGCCTTGCTGAGATTCTTCTGGGCCTCTTCCCGCTCCTTTTCCTGATTGGCTTATTTATTCAAGAGAAAATAAAATGCTTGTAGGGCCAAACAAGACAGAAACACAGCTGCATGCAAACTACATGTGTTGTATATAAACTTACCATTTATATTTGCTATTAACAGCTCATATTCTGCGATGACCTTCCTGTGAGGAAATATGATAAACATTTGAGTAGCAGGTTCAGCTTTACTGACATGATCTGCAATCAATATTCAATCTTTTGAATGTTGATTTAGTTTAATGAGCTCTACTTTCAAATCTCTCCAGTTGTCATAATCTATGCAAGAATAATTATTATTGAAAGGGCATACTTTATCTTAAGGAATACAAAATAAAGGCTTAAGATGGGGACACCGTCTTATTTCTGCAGACCTCGGAATCCATGAAAGCTACCTGCAGACGCCATTGGAAGCTCAGGACATACAAGTTTGTTTAGCACTCACCTCATTTCTTGACCATCATCTTGCAGCTTTTTAAACTTTGCATCCCACTGCTCCTCTTTCACCTTGGTCTATTTGACAAATGTTTGGAAGCAGATTAACTTCAATCATCTTTAAAAATTTAACCTGCTGTGGTCCACAGCTAAAGGCCTTACCTCTGCCTGCACCCTAGCGATGGCTGCATCCAGGTCTTTCTGGCTGTACTTCAGCACTTCAATAATGGCCTCTTCGCTTTCTGCAGGTTTTGGAAACTGAGGGACAAGATTCTGTAGGATTAGAGGCCAAACAGAGAGAGGAGCATGATGAGAACCAATCAAAGCTTCGAAATCAGCTGGATGCAGATTCAGACTCACTGGGACCAGAAGATCGTTGTTCAACGTTTTAGTTGACTCCTTCTCTGCATCATTGAGTCTGAAAGAAAGCGATGTTCATCTTTTAAAAGACTGAACGGTACAGCACAAGATAATCAGGGTAAATACACAAAGGCATTAGGGAAAAAAAAAAAAAAAGGTTTCATTCTGCTTAGGATGTAGTCTAAATGTTAACGGTTAAAACAGTATTACTGCATTAATGAAATGAATCCCACCATGAGCCATTATTCATTTCTTCTCCAAGGTTGTTCACTTTGCTCAAATTAATTTAAGCTCCCACTTACAACAGAAAAGCTTCTATGGAGGAGTGTGTAAATCATACCGTGAGGCCAGACCAGTAGGGGCAGCAGAGAGCAGCTGAGCAGCAGGGCCACCAGACTTCTTTGGGCTTTCTCTCAGGAGGGGATCAAACTTTAGGAACAGCGATTGTTTCCTCAGTGCAGACTCCTTGAACTGCTCACAAACAAAAACATTTTCAGTATCTTCATGGCAGAAAGTCTAATAGTTTTGTAAGATATTCATGCAGGACTTACGCTGCTGGAGCCAAACTGCTCCAGGTAATCAATCTGCCCGTCAAAGTCACTGGCCATGACTGCAACAGAACAGCGGGTTAAAATAAAACTACCGATTCAGAGACTGATCTGGTGAGTATTAAACAGCCATCAGTGTTCACTCACACATGGTTCCAGGAAGAAAGATTTCCTCTGAGCCCAGTGAGCCCCTCTGAAGCTGCTGCGCAGAGGGAAGCTGGGCCTGGAGGTTCTGACTGGCAGCTTCATCTTTAAGGTCTTTGTCAGTGAGAGCCAAGTAATCGCCCATCTGCAAATTCAGGGGAATTCAACTTGATTTAAAATAAAAACAGAAAAAAAAAGCTTTAGTGAGCTGGAACAAGATGCATGACTGCTCACCGCTGCTGGATTGGGCTCAGCAGGAGGCAACATCTCTGCAGCCCTGCAGGAGAAACAAAGCTCAGAGTTTACATGTAAATTCTACCCAGACAAAGTCCAGATACTGATTAGAAGATCTACTGACCCCTCAGATGATGCAGGTTTCTCTTCCTCTGGGTTCTTGGTTTGTTCTGCAGTCATTTCCTGGAGGATGGAGCTGGGTACGTTGGAGACATTGCTACTCTTTGGTGAGTTGGTAATGGCTGTCTTGCTGCCAAAAGGATTGAAGTTTGGATCATCAAACTTTTCAAAGTCAAAGGAGTAAGAAGCTTTGGGAACTGGAACATCTGCATCATCACTTGGAGCAGGTTTGATAGCAGCCTCTTCTGAGGGTTTAGGATCAGCTTCTATTTTTTTTTCTTTTGGAACATCTGCATCATCACTTGGAGCAGGTTTGACAGCAGCCTCTTCTGAGGGTTTAGGGTCAGCTTCTGGCTTTTTTTCTTTACGCTTCACATCTGCGAATCTTTTCCCAAATTTTTTCGGTGGTGGTTTTCGTTTGACTTCACCGTCGTCTCCAAAGTTGAACTCCAGTTTAATCGGTCCTTCTTGAACGCGAACATCAGGAAGCTCAGATCCGGTCGCTTCTGCAGGCTTCACATCCAGCTCAGAAGGCATGTTTTTCTCCTCCTCCGGGGCATCGGCTGGTTTACGCTCCTCTGCAGGTGGATCACTGCCTGGTACCTTTCTTTGAATAACAGGCGAATTCTGGATTTTAGAGCCTCCAGTCTGGAATGGATTGATGGCATCAAGGTTGTCGAGGTCCAGGTTATAGGAGCCCTTTGCTGGAAGAGGTGCATCCTCCACAAAAGTGCCAGATGGTTCCTGTTGGCCTGTGCTAGCACACACGTCATCAGGTGTAGCTGCGCACAAGTCTTGCTCTTCCATTTCGGATACCTTGACCACATTCACAGTGACCACGCTGCTCTCTCTGGAGCTGACATCAGCAGAAACGTCCGCTAAGGAGTTTTCCATGGATGGCGTGAACGGCAGCGTGTCGTCCAGGCTGGCTACAGCCACTGGTTTCTGGAGGATGTTTTCTGAAGCCGTCTCAACAGGAGCTTCGACCACATGTTTCACAGGAGAGAGGATCATCTTGTTGGAGCCCTGAAAAGGATCAATGGCGTCCAGGTTGTCAAAATCCAGCTGATAGCCGCCTCTGCTCTGAATTGGCATGTTGTCGTCAGAGAATGACGATGGCTCTGCTGAGAGAGAAAACATTGCAGCTTAGTTTAACCACAGAAAAAAAAAAAAAAAGGCAGATAATTTAACAAGAGATACCGTAAATTACCTTGCTTTGGAGGGTCAGTGGGCTCATGTTGTAAAATGCTGCAAAAACAAAATCAGCCCTGTTACTTAAAAATGCAGCTTTTATTATCTACAGACATACTAGAAGTTTAATCCAAGTTACTTACTCTGATTTGTCCAAATTAAGAGATTCCATTACTTTGTTGTTTTCGTCCACACTGGACATAACAATGGAGTTGCTGGGAGACAGAATCCTTTTAGTCAAAGGGTCTCTCCTGGGGGTCTGAAAACAAACCTGAACAAAAGACATTCAATCAGTCAAATACGCATCATCAACCACCTGCAAAAATCAACAAACATAGAAGATATAGTATATCTATATACCATTATTATTATATACTCTTCTCTATATTATAGAATACTATTTAAATATGGCTATATATAACTTAAGTCCTAACACCCAGAATGGAACTGCACAAAAAGCTAGAAAAATGAACTAATCTTCACCTTAGTGCTCTTTGGCATGGTCTTATTGGGCAGGTTCTCCGTCTGACGCAAGATCGATGGCCTCCCAGTGGACTGATCTATAGAAAATATGTCCTGACACGAGCTGCTCTGCTTTCCTGCTGGGATGACCCCACTGTTCTCATCATTCGCTTTGACAGAACTCATCCTGCAAAAAAAGAAGAGAAAAGTGACGTCTCAGGCTGTGCTCTGAAGGAGGAGTCACACTAAAAGCTGCATGCAGATGATAAGATGGTTCTTGTTGGGGCTTTAGTGAGGCATGTGACCAGAGCATGCTCATGCAGAGAATCAAATATATATGCGACACTTTTATTAAAGACAGGATTTTCCTTTAAGAAATTAGGGGGAAAATTATTTGTTGACCTAGGATTTATGTTTCAGTATCAAAAAGAAACATGTTTAAGTTGAGGTAAGAAAGTTAATGTAATAATGTAAAAGCAGAACTTGGCCTTATGCTGGGGTTCTCAAACTGTTCTACTCAAAATAATGGATAATAAAAATAAAATCGTAAATATTAAGAAAAATAATCTGTAATGTACAGTTAATACTTCGACTCGTATAGTAAGTTAGGTGTTTAATTAATTATATAAAGGTCAGAAAAAAAAAACATCTGAAGCCCAGCACTTTGAAACATGAATTGTTTCCAAATTAGAGATGAATAGAATTTCACTTTTAATATTTGCCACCAAGATTAAAATTACTTTCCTGCGGTTACACGGCGTGACCACCAGATGGCGCCAATATCATCCCAATAACTTTCGATTTTAGAATACAAGGAAAACATAAGACATTTCACAGCCTGTATGCTATATTTAATGTACTTAAAAAGTCTTAACTATACTTCTACACTGTTGGATAACTTTAAAATATTGCTAAACTATAAGGAAGAAAAACGTCAATGCTAAGCAATATTTCCAGCAACAGACTCTAAACGTTTCATTTAGTTATTTCGACATGTATCTTTGTGCTCAATCAATACACACAAAAAGTGACTTCTTCGAAAAGCTGAGAGACATTTCTTAATATGACGCTGGTACATCTTTACACCGCATAAAACAGTTTGTGACCCCGTGCATTCGTTTGCATGTGACCCAAAGGGTAAAACACTGATCCATTAGCTAAAACAGTCCAACTTATTATTATTAAAGTCTTACTACGTTGAAGTGCTGTCTGGATTTCACCACTACTCAACAAAATTAAAAATCAAACGCAGCGGCGAGTCTGTTGAACCGTTTAAAGCAACAAAAAATGCCTAAGCAGTTTACGAAAGGCTAGCAGGTAGCTAACTGTTAAAACTAGAACGTTTAAAAAGAGAACAATGTTCACAGCCGTTACCCGATAATTTAGAACAAACTAATATTCGCCACCTACCTGAAATGATGGACTAAATATGGGGTGAAATTTCAAAGACTTTGACCAGACGCATAAACCGTTGTATCGCTACTATAATAGCTTTGAAAATCCCTCTGCTGTGTATGGAACAAATGTACGCAGCCGTTTGGAATTTTAAAGTCATGAGACGCACCAATAAGATTCGTCCAAACGTTCAAACCAAATGCGCTTCCTGGTTAGTCAGCCAATCGTGTCAGAGCTATTCCAAAGACTACACATGTTTCAAGATAATGCTCCCCTATAATACCCACTGACATTGAAGTATTTTTATAACATCTGATTTCTTGATAACGTTCTTTATTGGCTTATTTAAGAAGCTTGATATTAAACGCTTTGCTGATTTCCTAAATAGTCTACAGTTATTCCTCCGTTTCATATAGGATTTTTTTAGTAACTTAGTAAGTAAAGAATAGCATAGAATAGAATAGAAAATCTCTTTATTGTTCCATAATGGGGAAATTCTGGTGTTTACAGCAGCAGAAGGATTATAGAATTATTATTTTTTTCTCACACAAATGTGGACCTCAGAAAAGTGTATAAGAATAACATAATAGTAAAGAGATAAAAAATAAACAAAATATTGTACTGTAAAGCGTTTTAACAAAATTAATACTGTGCATGTGGAGAATAAATAACCAATATACAGCTATGGACATTTTTACAGTAGCGGATATGTGAAAATAGCAGTAACATCAGAGATGTGCAAAATGACAGCAGCATGGTATTTAACTGACTAATATAGAAGCTGTGCAAAATCAGCATGAATGTAACAACTTATTGAGGTTGCTGGGAACAGTGGTAGTTATAAAGTCTTCCAGCTGCTGAGAGGAAGGATCTGTGGTAATGCTCCCTGGTGCATTTAGGGTGCAGCAGTCTGTCACTGAAGGAGCTCTCCAGTTCTGCAACAGCTTCATGCATGGGTTGGGAGACATTATCCTGCAGAGATGTTATTATATTTCTACAAAATATGTAAAGAACTTAATTAATTTAGAGGAGATTTTTTGAAAAAGAACTTACGGGCTTATTAGTCATCACTTTTATGGGAGCTATTGTTGGTGATCGTTCTGCTGAGCAGCAAAATGTCTCAAAACAACACTCAAAACTAACATCTCTGCACTGTCAAACAGATAATAAACAAAAACCAGGTGGTCTACTTGAATAGGATGGATTCCTGGACTATGTGGCTTTATTCTCTTCTTCATCTGTTTCTTCTGCACTTCTTATTTCTTCAGCTGTTGAAAGTTATGTTGCCTCCCTCTATGGGTCTCTCGATCATTATTCTTTCTTTAAAAGCTTTCAGTCTTGTCTTATTTTTCATCCCTAATATATTTTGCCAAAGAAAGCAGAAATGCTCTCTTTTACGTTTCCTTTCCATTGTGATCTACAACGTACAAAGATTTAGAAAAAAGGGAGAATTTATAACAATTTGAAATTTAAGATCTTTTATTGAATTCTCTCTCCTCCTTGTTTTTGTCTTGTTTATTTTTCCACTCCAAACTTTGATGTGTCAAAACTAATACAGAACTCCGCGAACTCTCTTGTTGTACGGCAACCGAGAGGGGACACACCTCCTTTCACATATCAGTAAAGAACGGGCTGTTACAATATAAAGATATATATCGTAGTATATATTATTTCTTTTTGGCAAATTAATGTATACTTAAAGCGCTATAAAAGGCTGTAACAAAACATTTGATTCGTTTTTTCTATTTGACACAAAATCAGGAAGCAGCTGGAGGGACAAGGCTTTAGAGTGCAAAGTCCAAATAAAATAAAAACAATAAATAAATAAAATCTATCTTATTTATCCATTTATTTATTTATTTTCCCCTGAAAGTCAATAAAAGAAAAAGCTATCAGACATTTATTAATCTAACCTTTTAGGATGGTGTGCCTGTTTGAAATGGTATTTTTTTTTTTATGTTTGAGCAGTTTCCCGCTTTTTTCCAGTAGGGGGCTGTAGTGATCCTCAAACTTGTTTGTCAACCAACATTGTACAATAGAAAGAAGAAGAAGAAGGAGGAGGAAAAAGGGAAAACAACCGCCCGCCAAATTTAAAGGATGTAAACAATGTTAGCAAAACCCTTTTAATAGCGCTGTTCATGATATTTGAAAGTTAAAGCTATTTTTTTAATTGTGTGGGTTTCTTAACGTTTTGCTACCATGAGCTCCAGTGGAAAAGGTAAGATTGGTGTCTGAACGGACTTAAAACGCTGATAATACTTATCCTCTTTGGTGGTATCTTAGATTAAAGCGAAATGCGTATTAAAACTACAAACAGAAAACCTTCAATGTTTGCTTATTTCTGGAAGTTTAGTAGTCATGCATTATAATCCGTCCCAGGATGTTGATTTTGAAAAAGCTGTGAAAGAAGTATTTAATCTGACCGACCTCTTCTTCTTTCAGGACCTGGAGATGTAACTCTTCTTGCTGCTAGGTAATACACGTTGAGGTCACTACTCAGATAAATCTTGTATAAATCTGTGTATTTACATATCTGACTGAGACAGTAAATAAACTCAGATGTAGTTGGTTCAGCTGCAGTACCAAGGTTAAACAAGGGTATAAAACCTCTAAACGACTTCCTTTGTATCAAACTAATCAAGATTTTTCACTCTTCATAAATACACCAGGCAAAGGATTTGGTTTGATTTAAAATATCTGAAACCCAGTCTTCACATTTTAACAGCTATTTTATTTTAGAACAAAATAAAATAGTAAAATAAACAAAACATTTATTTGCATCCCTCAGCCACGTTATCAGGTTCTGAATGATTTTATGCATTTGGATGAAGTTATTATAAGGCGTTTCCGTAAAAGTTTAAAAAAACAATCCACTGGACTTGGTTTCCTAGTCCAGTGGATTGTTTTTTAAACTTTTACGGAATGACTATGACCCGGATGACTGAGAATCTTCATCAGCATTATAAGGTGATTACTGAGAGCTTACTATCCATATTGACATGTTACTGCCACACAGTTGCTACAAATATAACAGCTGCACCTCTATGTCAAGTCTTTCTGGGATGTGATGCAGTTGTTCTTGAAAGTCCTCTTAAAGGAAATTATGGATTCACACTAGTAATTCAAACACTGAAAAAAGTAGTAATAAATTCCTAAATAAAAATGTATCAAAATAAAATATGGAATTTTTGTAAAAACAAAAATAATTCTGAAAAACAACATTCGCGCAACTTTACAGAAAACACCCCATTTATATATATTTTATGTATATAAATTCTTTTTAAAAGACATTCTTCTTCCAGAGGATTATATAGATTACAAAAAGTTGAAGGAAGATGCCATTTAAGATAAAAATACGACAATATAAAAAGAGTGTATGTAGTACAAAAGAGCATTAAAAAAGTTGTAATGTCCTGGAATGTGTTTCCTTTAGATATAGAAATATCTCAGGGTTTCCGCAGATCATTAAAATTCATTAAAATTCATTAAATTATTATTTTTTAAATAATAATCGCCTTATTTGGCATTAAAATTCATTAAATGTGATTATCGTGGAATTTAAAATGCTTTACTAATAAAGGAAAAACGTTTATAAAAACAATTTCGTCAGATATATCAGATATAACTAATAGACCTGCTTCCGGTTGATCGTAAAGCAGCATGTTCGGAAAAGAAGTTCGAGGCAAAGAAAAAGCTAGAGAATGAGAAAATGCAAATTTCAACAAAAGTGCCTGTAAAATGAGGAATTAAAAAGTAGTAAATTATAGTTATTCATTCCTGTATAAATCCTGTATCTGAACAGTAGAGAGCTAAAGAAAGACTCCACAGTAGTTGGTTTGATTATTGCACTTGCACTGCACTTTATGTTTTTGAGTCACTATCACTTTAGTCCTTTTCAGTTTATTTTACTGGCAGCTATTTTTTTTCTATCTTAAAAGGCGAGTTATGTAAACAGTTCCGGTTTGTTAAATTGGTTCAGTTGAGAATGAATGATTCTAATAACAGATGATTATCATCAAATATTAATGCTTTAAAATTACCACCAGAACCATACTGTTTTGGTCTTTCACTAAACCGTGCTCCATCTGCTGCTTAGCCTTCATTATTCCGTGTGTAATTTTCTTGCCTTGTAGCGGAGACAGCGATTCTATTAAAGTCTTTGTACGAGTGCGACCTCTGACCCAGGGAACCGGGCTAACAACTGATGGAGACCAGAGTCTGTGTCTGAATGTCAGCTCACCCAACACCATCCGTCTGCTCTCTAAACCAGAACCACGGACCTTCACCTATGACCATGTCGCAGATATGGACACGTCTCAGGTTTAATGCTGTTAATAATAATCTGCAGTTGTTTCTCTTTATTAGAAATTAACATGTCAGAGAATAATATTTGTCTTTCTTTCTGCAACAGGATGCTGTTTTTAACAGTGTGGCCAAAAATATTGTTGAGTCTTGCATGAATGGATATAATGGTACTATATTTGCCTAGTAAGTACAGCATAATTGTATGTTATGAAACAAAATATAACCTAACTATTGTTTTACATATGAAGCAACAGCTCGTTTGCTAATGAGATTCTGATTTTGTCTTTGCAGTGGACAAACGGGCTCAGGGAAAACATTCACCATGCTTGGTGAGTATTCGCTGCTGCTGCTGTTTGTACTGAAGCTCTAACAACTAAAGTCACACTGATTCCCTTCTGGCTGCAGGTCCGTCTGAGCTGGACAACTTCACAGACGAGCTGAGGGGGGTCATCCCTCGAAGTTTTGAGTACCTGTTTTTCCTCATCGGCAGGGAAGTGGAAAAGGTGAGCGGTAAAAACACAAGTTTGCACAAGCTCTCCTTTTATTTCTGCTTTTTTGGTCACACTTAGATACTTCAAGTATCCAAGATTATCAGAGGGATTAGAAAAAGCACTTTTAGAAGATAATTTCATTTATTAAAGAAAAAATTTAAAGTTTTAAACCAAATGACCAATGCTAATGCTAACACTATTAGAATCTGGCTATAGTATGGCCTGCATAAGGTCATGCAAATGCACCTCAATTGGTTTCATAAAGTCAAAACTCTAACTAGGCCATCCTGAAACCTTTTGTTTTCTTCAAGTCATTCGGAGATGGACTTAATGGTGCTCTCTAGATGATTGTCATACTGGGACACCCAAAGATGTTTTAGCTTCAGGTCATGAATATATATTGAAATATTCTCTTTTACCACTTTCTACTATTCACCAAAATTAATGCTCTTTCTTTAAAGTGAGCTATGATGTGTTTCTTTTTGAGAATGTTTAGCTTGCTTAATCCTATCAGACAGTTACATTAGAAAAAATATGGTTTCATTTAAGATATTCTTTTCTACTACCTATTAAAATGAAATACTTTTGACATTAAAGGTTTTAATGTCGTCCCCCCACCCCAAAAATTTTGGGTGTAACACAGAAGTCAATAACCTAAACAGTTGGTGTCAGTAGCAAAATATAATTGATTTTAAGTTAGCAGGAATTAAATCACAGGAGACGGCAAACACGGGGGCGCTTTAAGCCTCAGGGTCTCCAAGGCGGAAACAACAAACAAAACGCCCTCCCCTTTTTAGTTATAAAATAAAACTCTTTCTAATGTTTGACATCTCTGGTATGAAGCTCTTTATGGGGTAGCTGATGAGCTCCTACATATTGCACCTAAGGCAGCCAGGAAGAACTGAAACACAAAAAGAGAGCTCTCAATGAAGAGAGCCCCTAGAGGTCCATGACCATAACAGAAGTAAAAAACAAAACAAAAAAAAAACAGCCTGGTTGTGTCTACTCATAGTAGGGTTTCACGATACTAACCTGTTCAACTCGATACCGATACTAAGGAAAATATTCGATACTCGATACCATTTTCGATACCACAAGAATAAAAACAAAGACTCCAAAATTCTACAGAAATATTTTCATTAATAAATAAAATACAATAAATAAATACAATAAACAATAAAAACAATATTTTGAGGTTGTATGCTGTGCACAATATTAATCAAGCTTGATAAAAAACGTATTAAATTAAAATAAAGTGTTCCTTCCTTGGCTATGCTTTGCACACATAACAATGACACTAGCCAAACCGGTTAAGAAACAAAAATAATTCTCAGCAGCTGCACCTGTTACAGAAAAAGTCTGAAACTGAAAAGTGCGTAGCATTATTCAATCACACAGTGTTCTGAAAGGGCATTTTCCTCTAATCTGCACTTTAAATGAATGACTGCTTAGGTGCCACTGGTAGTAGCACTGTCTCGATACTTTTAAAAATGAGTATTGTATCCGGATACAACATTTTGGTATCTATACTTTTTTGAGTATTGATACTTTTGACAACCCTAACTCATAGCAATACTGCTTGTTTTTTCCTTTTCCACTAAAACAGTCTGGACAGTCCAAGAGTTTCCTCTGCAAATGTTCCTTTATTGAGATCTACAACGAGCAGATTTATGACCTGCTGGATTCAGCCTCTGCCAGTCTTTTCCTCCGGGAGAACATTAAGAAAGGAGTGTTTGTTGAAGGAGCTGTTGAGAAGTTTGTGAACTCAGCAGCTGAAGCCTATCAGGTAGGAAATGCCAAAGTAGCAACTTTAATCGGGTTACACCCAGGTCTAAACTTTTAAAGCTTTAATAATATCTTGTTTTATTAGTGAGGGAGGATTAATTGGTTCCCTTTAAAAATGTCTTTGCTTTGTTAACCCTGCAGGTGCTCTCTACTGGCTGGCGCAATCGGCGTGTGGCCTCCACCTCCATGAACCGCGAGTCTTCCAGATCTCATGCGGTGTTCACCATGATCGTTGAGTCCAAGGAGTCCCGCAACGACGTGGTGAACATCAGAAGGTCCCAACTGAACCTGGTGGATCTGGCTGGATCTGAGAGACAGAAGGACACTCACACAGAGGGGTCCAGACTCAAGGTACAGCTTTCGGGCTAATTGCATTCCTTTGCATTATTTTCTTTCATCTGTTTTTATAATTAAAGTTGCTGTACCTCTCCTGCAGGAGGCCAGCAGCATCAATCGCTCCCTCATGTGTCTGGGTCAGGTCATCATGGCCCTGGTGGATGTGTCCAACGGAAAGAGCCGACACATCTGCTACAGGGAATCTAAACTCACCTTCTTGCTCAAGGTGAGAGTTTGTAGTGTTGTGTTTTGTTTAATTAAACAGGATAAAATCTGTGTAACACTTGAAAAACTATATTATTTCAGGATTCTCTTGGGGGAAATGCAAAGACCTACATCATAGCTAATGTGCATCCAGGCTCCAAGTGTTTTGGAGAAACGTTGTCCACGTTGCAGTTTGCTCAGAGAGCAAAGCTGATCAAGAACAAGGTTTGTCTTCATACGTTGTCTCATTGTTCGGCAGACTTTGGGGACATTACTAAAAAACATTTGTATGGATTCTTGTTACTGTAGGCTGTCATCAATGAGGACACGCAGGGCAACGTGAAGCAGCTGCAGGCAGAAGTGAAGAAGCTGAAGGAGCAGCTAGCTCAGGCTCTGACCTCTTCAGGAGGAGACTCTGCACCAGGAGGACCTCAGCCTCTCATGGGTAACATCACAAAGATAAATCATGACATTCATCAACAGAAAGTTCATAAACACTAATAAAAATGATACAGAATAAGGAAATCAGATTAGTGACTAAATAAAAAAAAAAAACATCTAGAAGATTTACTGAATCAATAAAAATATAAAAATCAATATCTTCTTGATCATATGGATATTTGATATTCTCTGTATTTTGCACAGGCATCTCCCATCAGTGAGAGACCTGCACAAAAACGCTTACTGAGTCTGGTTAGGGATTTATAGAGGCCTCAAGAAAAGTTGAATCAGACATGTTGTTCTGAGCTGCTCTATTTTACACCAGATTTATGGGATAGAATGAACAAATAAGCCTCTCAGGCTCATTAAATGTAAAAAGATAAAAAAAAAAAAAAATAAGGCCTGTAAATTGTCTTTTTGAAAATTCTGATTTTTTTTTTCACAGTTTACACATTTTTAATGCAGGCATTTTCTGTGCTGTAAATTTACAAAAACAAAATAGCTTTTTTTGTTTGCATTGGAAAAAATATAAATATTTCCTGAGATATGAAAGTTACTGTAAGGCTCAGCAGATCAGAGAGATGAAATACATGCATGGGTGGCAGGCGTGAGGTAATAAGCGGCCGGATTGCTTCCTCCTGACAGCCGTGGTGCGACTGCAGGGAGACGCTTCGGAGACAAGCGGAGATAAATGCAGAAAGGAGGGGAGGAAGTTCTAGTAAATGCAGTGGGAGATGGAAATAAGCCAGCTTCCTGAGGCTCGTTATGGTGCATGCGAGTGCATGGCGGGAGGAGTAAAATAAAGAACCCTCAGGGACGAAGGGCTGCACCGACTCTATCCACCAGCTTTATTCTACTTGGGGGTGTGCAAAATAATCGTCATGACGATACATCGCGATTCTAATTGTTGTGATCTACTGCATTGATTCTTGACGCAACGTATCGATTCTTAATTTTAAAAAAGGAGTAAAAATAATACATGAACAGTTGCCGCACATCCGCCAAAAACAAGTGGAATACAGCTTCCAGTTAGATGTCGCTGCAGATGTGTTGACGCCCGCTGCCTTGTGTCACAAGCATTTCCGTCCGAGGGATACTGCAACGAGTCATTCATAAACAAAACACGGAGGAGACTGAGAAAAATCGCCCGGCTCCATCACATTTCAAATCAGATGTTTGGATGCATTTTGGCTTTAAAAACAAAGAAGGTAAAAAGGGATTTTATATGACGCACTTAATTTGCAAAAGGGAAAATGTCATACATTTGAATTTTTTCATTTCAGTGGTTTAAAGGACCACTGAGGCAATGTAAACAGCACTTATTATCCCTATGTTGTTATTTCAAGTTTTATAAATCCTAAGCACTTTTTGTCAGTGTGTCCACTCCAGTAATAGTAATATTTCTGTCCAGTATTTGTTTTCATGGCAGTACCTCCAAAAGTTGTTTCAATAGATACAGCTATGTATGAATTCAGTTGCTTTCAGTTATGTATCAATTGAAGACACCATCCAGATCAGACGCAGCCAGTCAGCCACTGGTAATGGCTGTATTTTTTTCTAATCAGTGAAAATATTGCGATGCATCGCAATATTTCAAGTATCACGATGCAGCGTGATAGAATCGCATCGTGGCATGTGAACCGTGATTTGAATCGAATCGGGACTTCTTTGGCAATACCCACCCCGAATTCTACTAATTCCACCAAAATTTTTTTTTTTTTTTTATTTTTTTTTTAGGTATTTTTGAACATTTATACATTGGCCATTGAAACAAGTGTGTGATGCTGTCTAACTCGGTTCTGTATGACTCCTGCCAGGTCTGCCTGGGGAAAACCAACAGGATAGTTTTTATAAGGGGAAGTATATGGCTGCGTTGCGTCTGTGGAAAAAACAAAACGAGGAGAAGAAGGTGAGGGGATCTGAAGTTACTCTGGGAAGCAGTTGGACTGTGAGTACTAAGGAATCTATTTACTGTTTATAGATCCTGCTCAAGAAGGTGGCTCATCTTGAGGAGGCCTGGACCCAAAAAGACAAGTTCATCCACTCTAACAGAATGATCATCAGGTTTAGAGAAGATCACATCGCCCGTCTGGAGAAGAAGCTGAAGGCAGGACAAAGCTCGCTGTCTGACGCCGAGTCCCAGACTTTGATTGACCAGCTGAAAAAAGAGATCAAGCTCTTAGGTGATCAGGTAAAAAGAAGACCCGCTGTTGACTCTTTTTTTCTGGATAGAGGGAAAAATTAAATTGGGTTATTTCAATTTTCCAGGTTTGGATTTGAGGAATTGAGGGAAAGGAGCATATTTCTTTTATGTCATAACCTGAAGGACTGTTGCTTTATGTTTTATTTTTTTGTTTTAAGGTGGAACATCATCCAAAGATGACTCGTTACGCAGCAGAAAATTACAACCTCAGAGAGGAGAACAGGCTGCTGCGTTCTCTGGAATCCGTGATTAAAGTTGAAGAAATGTCCACCCAAGTTGCAGCAGAGTTGGAGGAGGCCTTCCAGAAGGTGCTGGAATCTGAAACACTCACAGAAGGTGAGACTGTTGGCATCCAGCATCTGTAAAAAGTCAATAAATGTTCTCTTTTAGGTTTAATAATCACCTACTGCTGTTCCACAGGTTCCATGCCCTCCTCAGCTTCCACTGCCACAGATTCTGCAGCCACAATTGAAAAGCTGAATGCAAAACTGCTGCAGAAACAGTCAGACCTCACAGCCGCCCTGCAGGCTTTTGAGGAGTATAAAGACATCACAAAGTAAGGAGGGTGTTATTTTTAATTAGGACAATTGTTTATATACATTTTAAATGTATACTGAAAACACATGAAAGATACAAACAAGATTTTTCATAAACCTTGGAAAAACTCAATGCATCACAAAAAAATATAAACTATAAAACTTTATTGAAACATTTATATGACTAATGGCTGCAATTCAAAGATAGCACCAAGGTTTCCCATTGATATGGACTGAGAAATGATATATGAACGCATAAAAACACCTTGACATTAAGGATTTAACATGAATATATACTGGAGTCGTGATTAAACCACATGGGGAAAAGATAGATGAGTAAATGGAAGATGAAGGAATAGACGCACAACTTAAAATTTCCTTGATTTATAAATCAGATTTGTGTTATTTATCAAACTGTCGTCCCATTTAATGCTTTTATTCTAACATTTAGGGGCAGAATGCTAAATATAAATATCTCATCCAACTATATACGTCAAATCTGTTTCTACATTCTATATCTATAAATAAATATCATATTTGTTTCTAACTCTTAAATTTACATGCAAATCTTAAATCTATAGCTTGTATATCTTAAATCACAATATGTATCCTAAATCTTAAGCCAAGTTCATATCTTAGGTACAAAAAAAAATAAATAAATAAAAAAAAAAAAAAAAAAAAAAAAAAAAAAAAAAAAAAAAAAAAAAAAAAAAAATATATATATATATATATATATATATATATATATATATATATATAATTTTTCTTTTTTTTTTTTTACAATTTTGGTATAATTCTGCTCTAAGTGCGTTATTCTGTCATATAAAGGCATATTCTAGAGTCTCTATAATTCAAATAAAGATTAATCGATTATTACATCAGTTGACAATTATTTTAATAATTTTTTAATCCAATGATTGTTTCAGCCCTATTAGGTTGAAATAGTATTTCCGTGGTCTGCCATTTAATTCTGTAGTTTTCACCAGTTTCTGGCAATACTAATTTTAAGTTGGAATTTGTAAAAACATTATCCATTTTTTTCTGCAGTTCTGACATTTGGTCAAATTGTAAAAACTGTCCAGCTTGCGGTGAAAGCTAAATAATCGCTTTTCATCCCTATGCCTTGTGCAGCAGAATGAAGTCTGAAAATGTCAAGTTTTTCTGCTTCGTGTTTCATATCTTCATCAAACAAAATAAGATCAGCTTCATACAGTATTACATTTCCTGGTTTCACCTACAAGATATGATTTCCCTCAGATTTTAAATTTGGTTTGTCATTGATATCCAGAACTCTGCTATTTCCAGAATTCTACCCTTAACACGCTTCCTTTTGCTTTGAATACTGTTTGAATGCTTATTTTCTCTGTTTTAGGAGACAGCTTTCTCAGCTGGAGTCTGACAAAAGGTACCTGGAGAAATCCAACAAGCACCTGGAAAACATTTTGGAAGCCACTCATGCATACAAGAAACAGGAAGTCTCTGAGCTGAACAGAATTCATGTTGAAACTATAAAGGTGGGTCTGTCACAGCTGAAAACAAATGATGACTGATGATGAAATGATGATGAAGAGATGACTATGGTTAAGTTCAGAACAGGAAGGCAAGCATTGGAGCCTGGGAAAACCGTCCCGACTGCGAAGTATGCAAAAATATTTTGTAAAAACTCTTCATACGTTTTTGTAAAGTTCAAGTATCTTTATAAACTTTACAAAATGGATGTAAACATAAGGAGAGAACATTGGCAAATATTGAAGCAACATCTCAAAGCTTCAGCCAGAAGGTTTCAGTTCAGACATAAAATTAATATACAACCAATTTACTTTCAGAATAAAGGAGATGTTTTGGTTACTAAGCAAAGCCTTGATCTCAGTCCCACAGAAACGTGAGCAAAACTGAGTAGTTTCTGATCATCTGTCGACTTTGCCAGGACTCCTGCAAACAGCAACAGATCGACCCAAAATATTTGACTTATTTTGTACAGTTTGAGAAGCTTTGCTACCCAAGGAAGCTATTTAAGAAAGATTCCGATATAAAAAAAAATTTTAAAAAAAGAAAATTTGGAATTTAGCAAACATAAATAATTCCGGTAATCACTGCTGACATTCCCAACAGGAAGCATTTAGTCTGATTTCATGTTTGACAATGAGAGAAAGGAGAGAAATATTAAATAACCTGAATTCAAGGGTATCATTAATTATCTTTTTACCAGATTCTCACCACACCCACTAAAGGATATAACCTGCGGTCCCGGCTCACGGCGTTCTCCAGTCCAGAACATCTGAACGGAATTGACAACGATGGAGACATCTCGTCTGAGCAGCCTCCATCAGACATGAGGGAGATGGCTCTGACAGAAGAGCTGCGTCAAGTGCAGGTGCACTAATGTGGACTGACTTGGACATTGGACATTCAGAGTCCCTGCTTTGACCTTCCATTTTTCATTTTCCAGGATCAAGTGAGTCGCGTTCAAACACAGCTTAATGAAGAGGAGAGGAATAACAGCAAGTTGTTGCAGCAAATTGCAAAGCTAGAGGAGCAGATTGCTGTGATTTCCCAGGAGTCCGACCAAAAGGAGGCGGTAAGTTTATCCCACCTGAAGTTATTTATAGATATGTTTTTGGAATTCCTTCCAGTAAGTCGTTGTTACATCCTTTACAGCAACTTATTGCAGAAAGAACCAATAGGAACAAAGATCAGCTCATCTTTCAGGAAACTGTCAGCAGCCTGCAGCAGAGCCTTCAGACTGAACAACAGGCTGCAGAAGGTGAGGCTCTGAGGCCTCTTTGTGAACCTCTGTGTGAAGCTCTGCTTTGAACTTAGCTTGAGATGCTTTCTGATTTATAGTTCTGAGGAGTGAGATCCAAGATCTACGGTTGGTCCTGCACTCTTCAGACAAGGAGCTGGCCTTGGTGAAGAACAAGCTCAGAGACACTCAGCATGAGCATCAGGAGGAGATGAGTCGGATCTCCAGCAACCTGATCAGCACACAGCTCCAACTTGACAAAGTCCAGTAAGCAGAGGTTCAACATGCCCTCTGATCTCACGTATTTACAGTATGTGCTAAGATCCTCTGCATCCTTGTTCTAGGCTGGAGTGGGAGCAGCTTTTGGAGCAGAACAGAAATCTGCAGGACTCCTTCGACCAGCTGCAAGCTGAGGCCAAGTTTGAGGCTGATCAGGCACGACAGGAACTGGTGGACAGGCAGAGGGAGGTCGACCAGCTGAAAGCGGAGGTCTTGGTAATGGAACCCTTCCACTTTACACTTATCCCTCTGAACTGCAGCCACTGTTTTATTTCTGGCTCTAAGTTTTTTTTCCCTTTTTCTCTGCAGGGTTTAAACAATTTGTTGCAAGCTGAGCAGGAGCGCATAAACAGTCTAATGACACAGCTGAGAGAAAACAAAGAGAGCACGTCAAAGTGAGCTAGCCACACATTTAGATTATAAAGACTCTTCCACTGCACTAAAGTTGTCAGCATTTGATATAATTCAAAAGCATGACGGATGTTTCCTTTACTTCAGGGAGCTTGTTGAAACCATGGAGCAGAACTCACAGCTCCGAAAACAAGGCTCAGATTTAACTCTACAAAATCAACAACTGGTTGGTCAAAGTGATGTTCTGCAACTCTGCAAGCTTAACAAATTCGCTTAATGATTATTCATTCTTGTAACTGATTCTTATTGTCTTGACTTTGTCTTTTAGTCATCCAAGCTTGCTGAAATGGAGCAGAATCTGACTTCTGCCAACGTAAAGATTGCCAGCTTGGAGCAGAAGATTAAACATGACAAAGTAAACCAGGTTCTGATGTTTGCTAAATCTGACCTCCATTTGTCTGTCTCACGTCAGAATAACACTGTGTGCTCTTCATCAGGAAGTTCTGTTAGATCTCATGAACCAAACCAGAGATCTTCGTGCTGAGCTGAGCCACAAGGAGGAGAAAATCATCCATCTGTCTGGAGACATTAAAGACATCACCGTAATCCTCCCTATTTTAAGCTATCAGTTTCATACCGTCCCACTGCTTTATTATAATAATAATCTAATAATGCAATGTGTTCTAGGCCAAGTATAATGCTGCCTGTACGGACAGAGACAACATAAGAGGGCAAAACCAGAAGCTGGACGCTGAAATCGCTGACTTAAAAGAAACTATGCAGCGAAAGATGTTGTCTAACAAAATAGAGGTAACATGCTGAGATTATCATCTGTTCTTTTAATTTGCTTGCAGCAGTCTTCAGCCCAGAAACGTGAGTTTAAGGACACATTTTGCTCCTCTGATGAGGCATCTATTTTTCCCAATCATGTCTACACCATGACTTTAAATAGAGACAAAAGATATCTGGAGATTGTCATAAGATGCAATGTTCATGGCTCTGAAGCTGGTTGAATACACGTCAGAGTATTTCAGAGAGTGGATGATCCTATTCTCTAGGACTCGGTAGGCATTATTTCCCACCACATTGTTATTAGTGAGCATCCCCTCAAAATTCAGGCTGTTCCTAAAGTAAACAGCTGCACTTTATGGTTCTTACTTGATTGATTGATTGACCTAATTGATCTCACAGTGGAGGAATTTACTCATTAGATTGGGTCAAATAGTCAAAAAGAAGAAGAAGGTGCCAAAGCAACAAAAGGTGCGTGGGGATATATATATATATATATATATTACACTCCTGATCAAAATATAAATATATAAATATAAATATCAAAAAATTGCAAGATTTTGCACTATTGGATCTTAAGAAGGTTCAAAGTAGCGCTTCACAATGTTAAAGGAAAAAAATCAGTGCAAGAGACAAGAACTATTGAGCAGGGAATTTTCTGAAAACTGCATTTACACTCAAACATTATTTTTTCAGCTGATTAAAAGTTTTAGAACATAGTCTTTAAAAGCCAAAAGCTGTGCAAAAATCTGGATTCCATGTCATTTTCTGTCAAGTCTTTACTCTGTCAAGACCTCCTGATGGCAAAAGCAAAAAAGCTCACTGACTTTGAACGTGGTAGGATTGTACAGCTGCATAAGCAAGGCCTCTCACAACGTGCGATCGCTGCTGAGGTGGGACGCAGTAAGACAGTCATTTTGCATTTTTAAAATCATCCTGAGGGTTATTGAACAAAAAAGTCAAGTGGTAGACCTGAAAAAAATTTCACCAGCTCTGAGCCGCAGGATCCGATTGGCTGTCCGTCAAGACACAGGACGATCCTCTACCCAACAACGTATAATTACTGCTTCCATTTACTCACAGCCTAGTCCTCTCTTTCTACAAACTGTGGTGTGCGTTCCTTCCATTTCTCCTCTTTGAGCTGATACAGACATACAGCTGATCCCCATGACCAATCAGTGAACAGCAGTGAACAATAGTTTGTCATATTGTGACCCTGTTCAGCCGTACTCCAGAGCAGCTACAGACAGAAAAATCATGCACCGGGCAAAACATGCTAAGTGAGGCAAAGTCTAGGCAAGTCAGTAGAAAAGTGGATTAAGGTTTGGGGTTATAGGTCCCAAAGAAATAAATAATTTTTACAAATAGAAGTTTTATTATTAACACAAAATGTTGCGCCATGCTCACTTTTGCAAAGCATTTTAACATTTAATAGTTAAAATGGTTCTTTATCATAAAAATTATGTCATGTGTGTTTGTTTTTTTTTTCTAGTACAAATGACCTTTCAGCTATCCCAAAGTCAGTGTTTTATTTCAACAATAATTTTCTGAAACTTCTTTGTTTTATTCATGTATAATTTCACTTTATCGTCATTTCAATTCTGACATCTTTAATTTCCCTTTCACCTTGTTAAAAAAAGCTTAACCTAAAAGGTGATATATAAGTTATATAGAATTACATAGAATTTTCTATGTGATTTTTTTTTGTTTTTTTTAATAAGTGCAAGTTTCTGACTTTGCCATTCATAAAGGCCTAAAATGGCAAGGAGTGTGAATATATGTGCAATAAGAACATATTGGAGTCTATACATGATTAAATTTGAGAGATTTATTCTTTATTTAGGATCTGTTCTTACTGCTGTGTTTATTCTCAGACTTTGAATTTATGTCACTACTTAAGATTGAAGAGCATTTTTTTTTATATCTTACCATGTAAAAACTGCTATGCAAAGTAAGTATATGAAGCTCAATGACTGATAACTCAGTTTTGCTTTTTTACTTTCCGTATGTCTGTAAATGAACCACTGTGTCTACAGGCAGCCTGTTAGTCATTTTATTTTACAACCATTTCCACGAAACTGCAATTTTTAACCTGCACCAAAACTTTTCACTTACTCCAAACATATAGCCTTAAAGTTTTCAAAGCTAATGTTCATTCATTTTCACTTTTTTATTCCTATGTAATGCTAACTTATTTCTTATTGCTTTTGTCTTTTTCCTGTAGGTTGAGGTGTTGCAGGAGGAGATGACTTATGCGACCGAGGAGGTTGAGCGACTCATGAAGGTCTGTGATGAGCAGCAAAGCCTCCTCCAAGCAACACAAGAGCAGGCAGCACAAAAGGATCTCATCATAAAAAATCTAGAGCTGAAGGTACAGTTTTTAGCCCCTTTTTATTACAGGATGATATAATAAAGGACTTGAAATAAGAATTGATGGAAAACAAAATGTTTGTCATATCAGGTGCAACAACAACAGGAGGCTGCCCAGAAAACTGTCAGAAATGGAGAATATAGACCCACTGAGCCGACTGTCACACCGAAATCAGTAAATCGGGTAACACCTCTTTTCTCTTTGGTTAATTGAAACATATTATTCTGTTTGAATGATCACAAACCAGACCCATTTTAAATGCATTCATGTATCCAAATTTTCTATTGCTTTTCTTGGGTTTCAGACTCCTTGTGGTTTCGGCAGCTTTAACAGAGATCTAAACGAGGTGTTGGAGAGCCAAGAGCGAGAGCTGGAGAACAGACGTTCCTCCATGATGACCATGGAGGTTCTTCTAGCCGAGCTGAACTCTGAGAGGAGCGCCAAAAACGAGGAGATTCGCAGGCTCAAGGTTTAACTAGTGAAAATGTTCTGATTTAAAAAAGTATATTAGCCTTTCTTTCTGCTTCAGACAAAAGAAGAAACTTTACTTATTTGGCAATGCAAATATTTAGAAATGTATCTTGGTTGAATCTAATCCACATTTATATTTGTGCATTTTTTTTAGGAGGAGCTTAGAGATAAAGAAATCGTTTTAAAGGAGATCCAGAGTTTGCTGGAGTTTTACACCAAGGACAACCAGCTCTCTGAGACTGGAGACAATAATAGGTTGGCTGTCTTCATGTGAATACATAACACCGTTCCACCAGCTATTATTCATGAAATATGTGAAGACAATAAACATTTTCTTTGTTTTCAGTAAGGAGTTAGGCGAAGCTCTTAGGCAGACTGTGCTGAAAGAGCTGCAGGAGGAGAGAGCAGAAAAGGTTTGAATCTGGTCCTTTGCTAATCTCTGTTCACTCATATTGAGGTTGTATTTTTAACACGCCTTCTTGTTCCAGAACCAAATACTGCAGATGCTGTCTGCTGCTCAAAGAAAGTAAGGACAGGGTCATTTTTTTATCTTCTTAACTAGTTCTTATTTATTTTTTATGTTACGTTATGTTACGGCCATGTTTTTCTGTGCCACAGACTGCAGGAGCAGGAAACCTCCTTTGCTCAGTCACAGACCTGTATTCAGGAATTAACCACTGAGTTGAGAAACCGCTGTTTGGAGCTGAGAGAAGTAAACCAGAGGGTGCATGATGAGGAGAAGCTATTACAGGTAGGAACTGGCTTAGTATTTATAAAAAGAGAAATTTCATGACACTCGTATAATTATTGACACCCATCCTTTGTGCAACCTCATTTTTGTGTGTATTGTGTTTTAGAATTTCAAAACATCTGCTAAACTACCAGGCTTCAACATTTTTGATTACCTCAACAGAAAATATTTTTTAAACTTCATATTATTATTTCATAGGACTTTTTAAATTAATTGTCACTGTCTTTAATGAAACTTAGACTGTAGATTACACGTTAAATAGTTCTATCACTTAAGATTTGGATTTCTTTGTATTACCGTAATTTCCCATTATTAATCAGTGAAGGTCCCATTAAAGAAGAAAGATCAAGACAGTTTTTTGTCTATAATTGTTCAGATTTGTGATGATATCAGACTAGTGGTTTTGACATTTTAAGATCTACAAAATTATTTAGTTATGGTTAAAAAAAGGCAGATTTCTCAGCACTGGAAAAAAGTACTTTTTTTGCATTTTATCATCACAACAAACATCCAGCGAATTTTATTATCTGCTGTTTTATACAAAGCTGAGTAATATTATCTAAGCTACATGTTAATTGCTTCATCAGCTCTTAAAATATTACCATTCTTGTTTGTCATTGCTGTGACTGAAGATTTATTAATCGATATGCAATTTTCCCTACTTTTTCACTACTACTTCGATAAGACTGTTTTTTTTTTTTTTGTTGTTTCTGACAGGAGAATGAGCTGCTGCGTAAGCAAAACGAAAAACTCTCTGAGGAGAACGGAAAACTTGTCGGACACAAGAACCACAAACAGAGGATCGAATATCTAGTCAAACTGAAAAAAGACAATACTAGACTGCAGGAGGTGAGATTTGTTGTGATCAAACTATTTTGTTTTTGTTTTTTTGTGGTCTGATGAAATTCTAAATGCATCAGATTAATGATTATGCCCTGCTTTTTGTTTTAAAGGAAAATCAAAAACTCAGAACTGAGATCAACCTAATGCGGGATGGCAATGGGATCCCAATGCTCGACATTGAATGACATCTTATCTGTGGCGAAAATTATCAACAAATTTTACTTGTAAATTTTTGTTTACTATTTTGATATCAGTTGCTCTCCTATTCCATTATTTTTAGATATAAAGCCAGTACATTTGAAAACAGTGAAATTGTGTTTTTGTTTTTTGGTACTGAATAAATTTATTTTACTGCCTCCTGCATGGTTAGCTTTGACTTTGATCTTAATTTAATTATATATATATATATATGTATATATATATATATATATACATATATATATATATATATATATAT